AATGCCCGTTATTTCAATGAGGTATGTTTGACCATATTAGATCAACTATACCATACACAGTAAATAAACTCATTCACTTGGATTTGAAAAAAAATTATACAGATTCTTTGAACCAATTTCTCGCAAAAGCAAAAATCACAGACCATCGAAAACCAAAAAAGTTACTGAAAATCTGTAAATAATAAGATTTTCCAGCTTTAGGCCATTGCAGATTTATTTTTATTGATTACACTAAGGTGTTCCCAATTTTTCGCAATTATCAAATTGCATGTTCAGGGCATTTTGTTAGGGGCACAATTATATTCCAAAAAGAGATTTCTCACACTTACATAAAATAGTCAGATTTACTTAACAGCTAATGTTAACAGTTTCTACGCATTGCATGATCTCTTCTTTGTTAAGTGTCGATAACAATAAGCAGCATTATCGGTATCGATATCAACGATATGAAAACTGAAATACAAGAATCAATAAAAGTAGTCCTCGAATATTCAAGAGTCAGAGTTTTGACAAACCTCGAAAGTTTTTAACAAATCTGGCGAATGGTCATAAGATAATATGTTACTAACTAACTTGCAGCGCATCAGCCATGACGTTTCCTTCAAAGCATTGGCTATTCAAATGTAACCGTTAATTTGTACATTCCGTTCAACCGATACGTACAAGCAGCCTATATTCGATGAGTTTATTTGACTAGAAATAATTACCAAACTATTTCAATTTTCTTAGTGTATTAAATAAACGCCTAAACGGTAATTGCATTTTCAAGCTTATAGCTAATCTATCTGTATGCGCGACTATTCTAGACGACAATTATCGCCGATATGACATTTCCTACAAGAAACCGACCTGCAAATTAAACACAAAAAAACGTAAAATGTTTATTAGCCATAAAAAATAATATTGAAATTGTTTAGCCACTACATGTTGTTGTCATTGCTATCGAATGTGGTTACTTATGGCGGTGTTGTTGTTAAATTGAAATTTGCCAAAAACACAGTCTTGCCAAAACAAAACAATTATTCATTTGATTTCATTTAATTTTGGATACTGTCCGGCGCTCATCTTTCCATTTGAGTTCTGGAAAATTTTAGCAAATTTCTTGAAAAAACATCAGTCAAAAGCTCCTAGAAACTCAAAGAACTTTGGAATAGAACGATGCGGATTGTCTGCTGCAAACATGCACACAAGTGGTTTCATTCAATTCCAAACGGTCGACAAAAAGTTGTTGATGTCGGTCAACAATTTTGGTATGTTGTTTTTGTTTTGAAAGTTATTTGATTTATCCTTATAAAAAACAATGTTTTTATTTTAGCTAACGTAGGAGGTACTATTTTTATTCAAATGTAACATAATTAGATATTTTATTGATTGAATAAAAGATAAATGGCGAATAGAATACGGTTATAATGAAATCGAAACTTTTAGAATGTTTGTTATTTTCGAGATTGTGAGGGAATTTATGGTTTTGAAAATAAACAAATTAATCAAGTTTGTTTGTACATCAAGAGTATTCTTGTTTTGGCGACAAAAATTTATTAAAATTTAGATATAAGACCGCATAAGATTATTAAGTTATGGATGGGATTTATTAGACAAAATAGACTGCAAATATCCCAAAGTGGAGTACTGTCCAAAGCCAACAGGGGTTAATTCAGCTGTCATAAGTTGCAGAGAGTTTTAAGCGCATGTGTTGGTCCAAAAATGGCGCCCAAGATTAAGATTTTTTAAAGCTTTAATTACATTTTCTGCTGATGTTTTTATTAACATTTTTAATTTTATGAAAAAGTTCGTCAGTCCTCTTAGCTGATAGATAATTCCTTTGGCTTAACAGATTCTATTTTTAATATCGACTTAGTCTATGCCTTCGATTGCAACCATGCTCTAAAGATCATAGAATTTTTTTCTTTAACGAATCAACAATTAACAAGTAAAAAAGCAGTAAGTTCGGCCGGGCCGAACTTTGAATACCCTCCACCAATTGGAACGAATTAGAAATTTTTCAAAAAAAAATAAAATCCATTAATTCATTTAAAATCTTTATTAGATATTTTAAAGAAGGAAGGTGCCGATATGGGGGGATATACGATATTGTGGACCTATAAAGACAAATCTATGTCTGCGTATAAAGTACTCACAAGAAACTCCTTGTGTGGATTTTCAGATAATTCCATTGGAAAAAGTGGCTAAAATCATCAAAATACCGAATATAGGGGAGTACCGTTATATGGGGTATATACGATATTGTGGACCTATATAGACAATTCCGTTTCAGGGGTAAAGTGCTCACAAAGAACTCCGTGTGTGGATTTTCAGACAATACGATTGGAAAATGTGGCTAAAATCATCAAAATACCAAATATCGCGGGGAATCTTTATATGGGAGTTATACGTTATCGTTAACATATATAGAGAATTCTCTGTCGGGGGGTAAAGTGCTCACAAAGAACCCCTTGTGTTCAAAGAACCCCTTGTGACCATTCCGTTGAAAAATATGGCTAAAAACATCAAAATACCGAATATCGGGGGTACCGTTATATGAGGGCTATACGTTATCGTGGACCTATATAGATAATTCTCTGCCGAGGTATAAAGTAACCACAAGGAACTCCTTGTGTGAATTTTCAGACAATTCCGATGAAAAATGTGGCTAACATCATCAAAATACCGAATATCGGGGGGTACAGTTATATGGGGCATATACGATATCGTGGACCTATATAGACAATTCTTTTTGAGGGAGTAAAATGTCCACAAGGGACTCCTTTTGTGGAATTTCAGACAATTCCATTGAAAAATGTGGGTAAAATCATCAAAATACCGAATACCGTGGGGCTACCGTTACATGGGGGCTATACGATATTGTGGACCTATATAGATAATTCTCTACCGAGATATAAAGTACCCACAAGGAACTCCTTGTGTGGATTTTCAGACAATTCCATTGAAAAATGTGGCTAACATCATCAAAATACCGAATATCGGGGGTACCGTTATATGGGGGCTATGCGATATCGTTGACCGATATAGCCCATCTTCGAACTTGACCTGCCTGCAGACAAAAGAGAGATTTGTGCAAAATTTTAGCTTCCTATCTTAATTCGTTTAGACTGTAGCGGGATTACAACAGACGGACAGACGGACGGACATGGCTAAATCGTCTTAGAATTTTACGCTGATCAAGAATATATATACTTTGTTGGGCCTAAAATGATTATTTCGATGAGTTACAAACGGAATGACGAACTTAATATACCCTCCATACTTTTTTGGTGGAGGGTACAAAAATGTCCTGCAAGAAATGTTGAGGTTTAGAATTTCGCTGTAATTCGACCTGAAATCTTGCAAGCAAAGTCTTTCCTTTTAAAAGTATTAAAGGCTGAGTTATGACATCTGTTAGCCTTAAATCAATGGTGGTAGATATAAAACCAAAAGTTGTTTCTATAGAATCATTTGCAATTTGTTTTCCGCAGCTTCCTAGTCAAAAATAGCTTTGGCCAAATTTCTATTGATTATATGGAAATAACTTTTGGTTTTATATCTTCTCATACTTTGAGCAATCCCGCTCGCGAGCAAGTTTCACTCCCGAGTGAAAATAAGCTGATCCGTGTTTTGCATATATCTCATTGATATGTGAAAAGTTTGTGGAAATCGGGCAAAATGAGTGGACCCATTTTCACTATAGAAATAGTTTTCCTGGATATATTGGAATATATTTTTTGAGGAAAAATGGAAAATTATTTCACATTTCATGAATGTTGATCTTCGTGGGGGTGACGCCAAAACCAGCACACAGATGTTTTGATTTTGAACTAAACTTAGATTAAATATTGCGAAGTGTGAGATTTCAACGGAATCGAGAACTCCTTCGATTTCTTAAAGATGTTCGATTTTTTTATAAAATGTTGTCCGTTTCTAGAAAATTCAAAATATTGTCGATTTTCACAGATAGCTTACCAGAGGGAGCATAATACACCTTCGATATGATTGATATAAGTTCACGATACATATTACGCAAAGATCGGATCAGATCAGATATTTTGTTAAAGAGGCAGGCGAAGATGGTTTGATCGATTCCAGACGTCCTGAAATAGTTACCGTCCAAAGACACATTTCGGCCGTATTCAATAATATACAAACAATAATAATGTATTTTTTGAGTATATCCTGTTATAGCCCTTGTGTATTTTTTGAGTATATCCTGTTATAGCCCTTCGAAATTCACAACAAAACCAGTTTTAACCAAATATTTCTGCTTTAGTACAAAAACTACTGTTTTTTCCACATGACGAACACTCACTTCTTTACATATGTATGTGTGTACACGGAAGAACCAAAACACCAATGACTTATGGCAAATGTCATGGATTTTGTTTTACATCAGATTTCCATTCATGTCGTCTGTGTCTTTCACATGTGCAGATACTCACAGCCATGCCTCATGAGATGGATTGGTATCAAGAAATGAAATTCCCTTTGCTTCATGCTCGACTACCATGGAATATATAATATTTTACATGGGACTGGAAGGGGTGGGGGGGGGGGGACATAAACAGGTAGACTAACGGACACAATGTTCAATGGACGGAGCTTGAGAGAGCGAGAGATGTAACCGGCACCATTAATTGTTTTTGGGACAAACATCATATCGCCGTTTGCATCATATCGCCAGAGTGGTGGCTAGCTGGCTGGCTGCCTGGCTGGGCACATCTCGAGATGGATCAGACCAGACAGAAATAACGAAACGTCCGTCATTCATTAACAACGGTATTGTAAGACCAATAAATGTTACCACATAATGGCCGTTCAGGTCTATACGTAAACCGCTGATGGCTGAGATACCAAAAATAACGCCACAGCCGCAACTGTGACGGCTGCAATGCGGCAGCAGAGCAGTAACGATGATATTTAAGTTAACTGTCTGCCTTCGACGACAACGCCGACTACGACGCCACAACTAAGCTTGAACTTTTCGCCAACAAAAAAGAAAACCGCTTTTCAGTTCACTTTCGTTTGTCGAGCCATTTAGACGCACCCGCCTCTTGGCCAAGAAGCACCAAGCCGCCTCAGTGCACAACCAAAATCAGTTTGCCACCAAACAGTTGTTGTTTAACATTCGAGAAGCTTAAAACGATTTAAACTCGGTGCCCAAACTAAACGAAATAAAGGAACAACAACGACACCGCCAAATGAAGGTCTATCAAAGAAAAAAACGCTTTTAATGCTCACATCGTGTCGTTCGATCCTCCTCCGTTTATCTCTTGTGGCCAGATCATTTTGAACTCTGCGCGCAGAGAGCAGCGCATGCTGGCTGGCTGCTGTTACAAACAAGAGCTTCACTGCTCGCTTTGTGCGTGTTGAAATATTTAGCATATTTTTATAAGCATTGAAGACGCGCAGACGCAATTCATAATCGTGCGATCACACAGATCGGTTGTCAGTTAGTTTTGAACGCGCGCCCGTTCCGTCCGTTGGAGTTCCGTACAAGGGAAACGCGCACAGTGCTCAATGTTAAAATACGCAGTCCGCAAGTGTACTTGAAATCCGAAAGAAGCCCAAAAATCGAAAAGAAGAAAAAAAAAACGAAAGTGATTCTAGGCAATGTTTTTTTAAAAAAAAAAGTAAATATATAAATTACATAAGTGCAGTTGAGTAATCGAATACACGAAAAATACAACAAGAAGTACAAAGGGCACAAAAGGGTCCAGTGTCGTAATAAAACCAATGATTTGTGGCAATATCGATTCCTCGACAAAGTGAAAGTTACCAATCGGTCTGCCCGACCCGAGTGTCTTTTATTGTTTTTATTGTTGTGTCACTGTGATCTTCAGTTTACATACGTTTCATGCATAGGTGCATACTGTGTTTTATGAAATTTGGTTCATTTGCTTAACAATAAAGAAAATAAACGGTCCCTACACCTCCGAAATTCAAAAAAAAATACCTATTCACACACACCCAGAGAAACCAATAAATAGTGACAAAAGCTCGAGAGAACAACAGCAACAATATCCAGAGAAAAGCTCACTTGCATAAAAATGCACGAAATCAAGTTGGGCCCTTGGGCCTTTATCTTACCACTGCTCCTGCTTCTAGGCCGTGTGTCTTGTCTGGAGGCAGCCATCAGCAACGGTGATGGCAGTGTTGAGACAATGAGCCACAACATCAGCCAACAATTGAATGCCAGTAATCGTGACCTGCAGCCACTAAATCTTCGTCTACACCCGGCCAATTACTCAGCGAATGCATCGCCGCCTGCAGATACATCCTTGAATACGGAACTCGAGTTAAATCTCAGCGTACGCCTCAAGGATATGTTAAATATATTCGATCTGAGCTATCTTGCTTCTCAGTGGATTAATGTACGAAGCGATATCTCAGCGAATTGTTCCCAGGATATTTATAAATATCTGAGGGGATTACAGGAAGCCAAAATATGGGCCATCAAAAGTGAGTAAAAATGAATCAAAAACGAAAAAAATGGCAATGAAAATAGAGTTAGAGTGGAAAATAAAAAAAAAAACTTTGGGAGTTTTTCGTTTCAATTTTGTTGTTTTTAAATAGTTATTAAAACAGTAAAGGAAGTCTTAAAGTCAGACGGGGCCGACTTTATGATACCCTACACCACTTTGCTAATTTAGTAGAGCTGCGCATAACAATTAAAAGTTTTTATGGGAGAATTCAATCATATACGCTATGATTATAATTATAATTCAAAAAAGTTCAAAGGACTAAATATGCCGAAGCATTTGTATCTTTTAAATTCGGAATTGTATTGCCCATTTGGTGTACAATTAATATGAAATCGGATAAAAATATATATGGGAGCTATATCCAAATCGGAACCGACCTCGATAAAATTTGGCAAAGATATTTCTGAGTTGTATTTGATATATTTCCCTGAATATCGTTGTTATGGAGTGCATATTACGGCTGTGGGTAACAAATGTGACAAATCGGATGAACAGTATATATGGGAGCTATAGCTATATCTGAACCGATCTTTACCAAATTTGACATACTAGCTTCTAGACTCAATTCGGTTGTAAGTGCCAAATTTCATTTGGGCAAATATTAGACTTTTGGTGCACAATCAAAGGAAAATCGGACGAAGTTATATATGGGAGCTATATCCAAATCTGAACCGATCTCGATAAAATTTAGAAAAGGTATTTCTGAGCTGTATTTGATATATTTCCTCAAAGATTGTTGTAACAGAGTGCATATTACGGCTGCGGAGGACAAAAATAACAAATCGGATGAACAATATATATGGGAGCTATCGCTATATCTGAACCGATTTCGATCAAATTTAGCATACTTATTTTCAGGTCCAATCTGATCACGTTTGGTGCACAATAAAAGGCAAATCGGACGAAGATATACATGGGTGCTATATCTAAATTTTGACCTATTATCTCCAATTTCAATAGGGTTCGTGCTTGGGCCAAACAAATGATTTGTGCAAAATTTCATCTGGATAGGGCAATAAATGCGAACTGTACTTTGTTTACAAAAATGCATGGACAGACGGACGGAAGGACATGCATAAATCGACTCAGAATGTGATTCTATGCAGATCATCAAAAGGAACTATGGGTCTATCTCGTTTCCTTCTGCCTGTTACAAACAAATGCACAAAGACATAATACCCTGACCACCTTGTGGTGTAGGGTATAAAAAACGATAATTTATTCATGGGGGGACGTGCAAAAAAGACTTCTTAAAATTTTTTTAACCACCTGTCATAAGGCAGAACAGTACATCACTACCGAATTGAATCCAGGGGCTTAATTATTATTCTATGAAAAAGTGTAAGATTTTGACAGGTTCCATTGAGTTAGATTGAAGGCATATCAAGGTCATGTTGATGTGTAATTACTAAAAGTGACAAAACGGTGCGCCGCCATCGCGTTTAAAATTTTAAAAAATGTCTCACTCTTTCTCTTTGTGGTGTACATAGAAAATTTTCCTAAAATGTACCAGTGGTACTAAAAACGGCTCAATGAGTTTCGGGATAGAAATAATGATGTATAACGTGTTTTGAAAATGTAGTACCAAAAGTTAATGAATATTATATCATTGCTTTTAAGATACATCAGTTTCAATTGGCAAAGGTCGTCAATGATAAACGTAACTGTGTGCTATATTTTTTGTCAGACATTCTGCTCAAAACCCGTTAGTCGGTTTTGGCGATAACTGTATACCTACAGCCTTGTATTATGATTGTTCAAACTGTTGACCCTTTGTGGTGGAGGTTCCGAAGAAGTGTAAATGTCGTATCTGACCTAAGTCTGATAAAAAAAATACAACGTGCCACATTTAAACTATATGATGATAATTTTTGCAGAATGTTGAAATATGCGTGGGGTACCAGATATAGTGATCCGAAGTATTTCACTTCATCCAATACTGATAGAAAATAATGGTATGCACAAATTTAAGTAAAATCAAACATTTATTTGCAATTTTATGGTAATAATCAAAATTTAGACTTTTGTGGGGAAGGTACTTGGAGAAGTTGGCCGACAGATCACATCAGATCTCTAGTTGAGAAAAATATAAAGACATACAAAGTTTGAAAAGAATCGTTGACTTGTTTCGCAAATTATAAGAGATATAAGTATTGAAAATTGTGACCCCGTGTGGGTCATCCTCATACCCGATAGTGTGCTAATAAAAATATTGGAATGTTTGAATTTTTGAAGAGAATTAGATGCCTATTTCGCATTTATTGAGTGATATAATTATTCAAAATTTTGACCCCTCTGTGGGGGAGGTACCAGCAGAAGTGGTCCGATACATCCCATTTTCACAGCAGATCAGTAGAAATATTTGGAAACATGAAATTTAAAGAAAATCGGATGCTCACACTTTGATAAACGTTTTGTTATTAAAAAAATTGTCATCTTTGTGGGGGTGGTACCAGAAGGTGTGTGCCGATATATTACATCTTCATGACAGATCTTTTAAGAGTTATATAATTTATAAGAGTTATAATTATTCAAAAATTTGACCCTTAGTGGTGAAGGTACTTGATGAAGTGGGCCGATATTTTCTATTTTCGCACCTGACCTAGCAACTAGGTTACCAAAGTTGAACAAAATTGGATGATCTTTTGGTTCAATTAGGTAGTTTTGTTTTTCTATGAAAATGTTGATGTTTTGTGGAGGAGTGGAACGATATTACCCTTTTCTGAACTCAATCTAAGTTTTAATAAAAATATTACGATGTACCAAGTTTGGACCAAATCAAATACTCTCTTCGTGAGTTATCGTGCACACGAGTCAGGTGAGTACATCTACTCCAAATGCTCTGAAACGGATTTGGTCCAAAGAGACCTAAGATCTAAAACCATTATTTCGATGAGGCACTTTTGGCCGTATCATTTGACAGATGGTATAAAAATTTAAAGCAACTTAATTTTATGACATAGGATCTTGATCAATCGCGATGAGGTGGACATAAAAGTTATTGTTTATTTTACGCTATAAATATTGTCCGATCAGCGTCCAATTATTAGGATTCTGCCCAGCCCTAAACTCTAATTCCATGCAAAATTCCGCAACAGCAAACAATTTTCTGTTTTTGATCTTTTTCAACGTCTAAATATTCAACGTCTAAATATTTTGTGATAATTTCCAAAAACAATTCTGACCCTTGCCCCACCTCCCTTTTCAATTTCGTGAAGATCGGGCCATAGTTGCGACCTGTAGCATTATTACAAATTAACATGGACAGACGGGCGGACATACATAGCTAGATCGACTGAGCTCGGCAAGATAGGAAGATCTATATATACTTTCCTATGTGGGTAACCAATATTTCGAAGTCTTACTTGGCCCATTCAAACTTATAATACCCCCAACACATAGTATTGTAGGGTATAAAAAACAAGACAATTTGAATTGCGAATATTAAAATAAAATTATTTTCAAACTGCCGAACAAATCACTCGGATGCCCAACAGAGAAGAAATGTAGAATGTGATTCCAAAAAGAATTTATCCTGTAAGCATTTGCCAAAAGAACCGTCAAAGTTTCGCTCTCGAATTCGTTCTCTTTTGCAACAGTTTCAGACAGACATAATATGCATTTTGCAATGGTGTTTAAAGTACGTTTACATACACATTTTCATCTGGGTGAAACTTGACCATTCACAATAAATTAGACAACGGAAAATATATGTTAATTTTATTGTGATTGGTAAATTATCACTCATAACCCATACTCGAACTCCATTAGACCATCCTTTATGAAGGGAGTTCGAATACCCCAAGAGTTACTAGTTCTTAGCAATACATAAAATTATACTCCCTTAACTTTTCTCAGCTACTTATTAGCCGTTGCTCTCTCACCCTTGCCAGTCCAAAGGTGCCAAATAATATTACAAATATTGCAAAAGACTAACAAATTGATTTACATCTATCTCAGCAGTCGGTCATGTGATCAAGAATGTCACCCATTGACCTAGTTTTAAAAAAAGCTGCATCATGTTCGGGGAGTTTGGTGAACAAATTTAACCCACTTAACACAGGTTTCCTCAACAAAATAAAAAGACCATCATCATGAATAACTGGTGGGCTGGCTGGCTGACTGGCTGACTGACTGACTGACTCGCTGGTCAATAAACCAAACAACAAATATTGCCAAAAGCCATGCAAAGAGAAACACAAATCCCGACAACGTAAAGGCCTTAAAATAATTAACACTTTCAATTTTATTTGAAGCGAATTAACCCAGATTTCTGCTGGACAACTTACTACATACCCCTCTCCTAGGGGGGGTTGGCAGAAACCAAAAAATTAGAAAAAAAAAACAAAATGCATAAAAAATTGACACTAATGCGATTGCCATCTATCCAGTGTGCTGAAAATTAAGCGATAGTTATGTCTTAGTGTTGGTTGCCGTATTACGGAATGGGTTCAAGATTTTAATTGTATTTTAATTACCTCAAGGTCCCCGTGTTGGTTTACCAACCTCATTGACCAAATCCCAGAAATTGACGAAAGCCAAAACAATATCTGATATTTATTGCCCCCTGGCATACTGATACTTTTGAATTCCCTCAATGGCGCGTGATGGCCATACTTAAACACGGTTGTAATAGACAGCAGAACAACTGCATCCAACAATTCTAATAGAATCCATTATTTCCAGCCGTCACTGATTTTCGCTGCATACAAATTGCATTATTTGACCAAAAGAAGAAGAAAGGCAATTTGATTTGAATTCTTGCTGCATTATCTAATCCACCCCCCTCTGTTACGCAAGTCTATTTCTATTTTCATTCAGACTAAGCTATGTAACTGGTGTTGGAAGTAATACATCATCATTACCTCCTCATCATCATCAACATCGTCGTGACCACTCACCACTACCTGTTGCTTGGATTTCTGCAACCAGTCAAACGAAAACGAAAAGTGGTTTTTGTGTTTTACACTCTCGCTG